CCCGGTGCGGGGGGGGCGCCCGGCGAGGGCCCGGTCGCCCTGCCCGACCCAACCGGGCTCCCGCGGGGGGTTTTTAAGGGCCCCTGGCCCCCCCGCCACTGCAGGGAGCCCAAGCCCCTTTAAACCCCGCCCGCAGCTTGGCTCCCGGGCTGGGGCCGGGATTTAAAGGGCTCAGAGCTCCCGCCGCTGCGGGGAGCCCCAGGCCCTTTAATTTGCCCTTGAGCCCCAGGGGCTCCCAGCCACCTCTGCAGCTGGGACCCCTGGGTTGATTTAAAGGCCCTGGGGCTCCCAGCCACAGCCGGTGCCCCAGGGCCTTTAAATCTTGAGAGGCCCTGCCTCTTCCGGTTGAGACCACGCCCCGCACAGGACTCCAGCAGTACTGGTAAGTCCTGTAAGTTACTTTCACCCCTGGCTGCATTCCCCCCCCACCACACACACACCCAACTGCAACCCCCGGCAGGCGCGGAGTGGCACAGGCAGAAATCATCAGCTCCCCAGCCACAAAGCGCAGCCTCTGCCTGCAGCACCAGCCGCTTCTCAGTGGCCCCACCCTGGCTCTTCCTCTTCTCCCTGATGCCCTGTCCCCTGGTCAGGCTGGAAGCTGGAGCCGGGCCACAATCCAGGGAGCCTAGACCACCTTAGGGAGCCCTGGACCCTCCATCAGCCCTGGGTGGCATGGCCCGGGGGGCTGATGGGACAGGCTGGGGGCTGCTCTTGGGCACTCCAGCCCCGCACCCGGGCTCCCTGGGTGGCTCTTACTACCGCCCTGTTCTGGCTTCTAGCCTGGCCAGGGGGCTGAACCTCAGGGGAAGAGGAGGAGGAGGGAGAGGAGCTACCGAGAGGGCGGAGTAGAGTGAAGAGGAAGGGTAGGGACATGGAGCAGGCTGGGAGGCTCTCTGAGGCAGCAGTGGCTCCATCCTGCTCCCTGCCCAGCTGCCAGGGAAAGCGCCGAACGTGCCGGGGGAGAGACACAGGAGAGGACAGAGTCCCTCTCCCTCCCTGCCCCCGGCAGGCTAATCTGGGGGGGGCACTTAACCCCCCATTAGGGTGACCAGACAGCAAATGTGAAAAACTGGGATGGGGTGGGGGGTAATAGGAGCCTATATAAGAAAAAGACCCAAAAATCAGGACTGTCGCTATAAAATTGGGACATCTGGTCACCCTACCCCCCATACACGTTGCCTCTGACTCCACGAGCACAAAATGTGCCTGATGTAAGGGAGGACCAGGGCCACTGTACCCTGGTGACAGACAGGCATTGCAGAGCGCAAAGCAGAACAGTTTTAAAGCAATTCTCAAATAGTTTAAACCCCAAATTTAACCTTTTTTCACCTATTATTTGTGGGATTTCTTGAGGATTGTACACACATGTGGGAGAAAATGCCCTTCTGGGCCAAGAATTCAGGGACAAAAAAACCACAAGTACTTGTTTTATGTGTACATGAAAAACACAAAAAACAATGTATTATGTTCCTGCTTGTCTACAGTAGCTTTCCTCTAAGCCAGGGGTGGGCAATAATTTTCGCAAGGGGGACACTCCAGGAATTTTGGTAAGTCATCACGGGCCGCACATTTCTACTATATTAATAGAGTTGGTGCGGGGTCTGGGAGGGAGCGTTGGAGTGCAGGAGAGGGTGAGGGGTGTGGGATGTGGGAGGGAGTTTGGCGCAGGAGGGGGCTCCGGGCTGGGGCGGAGGACTGGGGTGCAGGATCTGGGAGGGAGTTTGGGTGAGGAGGGAGCTCCGGGCTGGTGCAGAGTGTTGGGGTGTAAGAGAGGGCGAGGGGTGTGGGCCCTGGGAGGGAGTTTTGGTGCAGGAGGGGGTTCTGACCTGGGGCAGGGGGTTGGGGTGTGGGAGGGGGGTGCGAGGGGCAGGGTCTGGCCGAGAGGTGCTTACAACAGGCAACTCCCAGCAGGCGGTGCCCAGAAGGGCTCAGGCAGGCCACCTGCATGCCGTGGCCCCATACCGCTCCTGGAAGCGACTGCAGCCGGCTGCTGCTGGCATGTCTCTGTGCGCTCCTTGGGGGGAAGGGTCAGCGGGTCTCCGTGTGCTGCCTGTGCCTGCAAGCACCACCCCCGCAGCTCCCATTGGTTGGTTTCCAGCCAATGGGAGCTGTGAGGATGGTGCTGGCGGTGGGGGCAGCGCGCAGAGCCGCCTCACCCCCCCCCCCGCCAGCGGCGCACAGAGACATGCCAGAAACCACCGGCCGTTTCTGGGAGCGGTGTGGGGCCATGGCAGGCAGGCTGCCTGCCTGAGCACTCCGCTGCGCTGTGGGAGTTTTAGTGGCCTGGAGCTCTTGAGGGGGCAGCCAAAGAGCCTGGCGGGCTAGACAGAAATGTTAGACCGGCCGGAGGCTAGCTCCCCATCCCACCTTTTCTGCCCACGGCCCCATCCACACTCCAACCCCGCTCCACCACCTCCCTTGCTCGTCCTCCCCCTTTTCCTGCTCGGCCCTCCCCGCTGTCATCCCTCCTCCCCAACCACGCAGCCCCATCCCTGCTCACCAAGTGCAACCCTCCTATCCTTCCCCCTTCCTGCTCGTCCCCCCACCCCGCCGCTGCTCACTGGTCCTTCCTCCCCCACCCTACCCTGCTTTTCCCCCTCGCTGCTCGCTGCATGCATCTCTCCTCCCCTTCCTGGTCAGCCCCCCTGCTGCCCCTCGCTATGTGCGGGTCAAGCGGGGGAGGAGGGAGAGGGACCAGCGAGTGGTGGCGGGGGTGGCGAGCAGGGGGGTGGCCAAGCAGCGATGAGAGGAGGAACAGGTGAGTGGCAGTGTGGACCTCCAGAGAGGGGGTGGAGAGTGCTGGAGAGGAGCAGCCAGGCGAAGAATGCCGAGCTTTTATATGCACCATGCAGGTTCCCGGGCGGCTGAGAAGGGCGGTATCTGCTACTCCGCTTCCCGGGTTCATCAGTAATGTCTCTGGGGAGTCCAAGGGACTCGGGACGCTGAGTAGCAGATACCGCCTCCTCAGCTACCCAGGAACCTGCATGGCGCATAATAAAGTAGCAAAAACTTCCCGCAGAAGCCCATTCCTAGCAGGGAGGGGAAGAGGTGAGGCCACCACAGCCCAGGTGTCCAGTGGCAGGGTCGGCGGTGGCTGCACCAGGGGAGGTTTTTGCCTTTCCTGGCCTATTATACCTGCCGCCCATGCAAACCTGCATCTGTAACAGTGCCTAGCATTCCAGGCATTCACCTCATTACCAGAAAGATACTGATTAAAATGGGGAGAATTCAGAGAAAAGCCACAAAAGAGATTAGACAGCTGGATGGGCTGATTCATGAGGAAAGATAAAATGATCTAAATATATAGACTGGTCAAATATCTAAGGTGGGAGACTGATTGCTGCCAGCAAGTCTTTGAAAGGTGCAAATGCAAAGGATGGAGGGAAATTGTTTAGGGTTGGATGAAGGAGTAATGGAATGAGTCTAAATAAAGGAAAATTTACTCTGGACATCAAGAAACAAATCCTCAGCGAGAGGTGTATCAGTCTGGGGAAGTTTCTTTGGGGAAGTGATGAAAGCCTCATTGCTGGTCATTAAAACTGGATAAAGCCCTCAGGGGCATACCACTAGAAGGTAGAGGGGTGGATAAGAATAGACCATTTCTATCTTTGATTTCTATGATTCTGTAAGTAAAAGGAACAGTTTTCATTTCCGTTCTGTCAGAAATGCAAAAAAAGCAAAACGAAATTGTGTGAAATGGAAATAGGGAGAGAAAAGGGAATAATATGTTGTTACTAAAAATGTGGAGTTAAAAGCAGGTCAAAAGTGTTGTTAGCATTGTCATCATCCGATTTGATCTGGAAACTCAAAAGCTCTTTCTACTGCATGGTGAAAACAATAACCAGACCCAGTTTCCCTGTGACTGGAGTGTTGAAAGGTACCAGCCTAGAAAAGGGGCCTCTGGAGTTTGGCAACTATAATCACAAAATATAATATGATTTAGTTGCCACAAGCTACTGTGATGTTGCACTCTGTATGATTTGATATGCTTCATGCAAAAGGTCTCTTCTAAGGTATCATTACAAAGCTTATAATCTACTGAGTGTGGTCATCCTATTTGTATAAATGTATCACTCTTATATCTGAAACGAGAAATATGAAATATAACTCTGAGGGCCCATTGTAATTATGCAAAGTGTGGGCCATTAATGGTGGTTTGGAAACTTGATGGCTACCATCAACCAGGACAATTGACTGTGGACGGCTCTGTTTGCAGGCAAGCCTTCCTGTGAGTCAGGCTGGGAGAAATGAAGGCTTGGGGTCTTACAGTGACATGTGATCATGTCACCTAAACTGGTATCCATCTTTAACGTAGTGCTTTTCCATTTGGGGCGGGGGGGGAATCCAGAGGGACAAAGGATTCCCGCCTTATGCAAAAGATATATAAATGGGTGGAACAGAACAAAGAGGAGAGCCATCATGAGGAATCCCCTAGCTACCACCTGAGCTGGAACAAGAGCTGTACCAGGGGAAAGAATTGTGCCCAGGCCTGGAAGGTGTCCAGTCTGAGGAAAAAAATTATTGAAGCATCTCTGAGGGTGAGATTATCTGTATTCGGTTTGATTAGACCTAGATTTGCTATGTTTTTATTTTATTTTGCTTTGGTGACTTACTTTGTTCTGTCTGGTACTACTTGGACCTAAC